GCTAGTTCCAGGTCTCCTTACATAACCAGTGCATAAGAAGACCCCGAACGACGACCTAAGCCTGCATCGGATGGGGCTTAAATCTCCCTCACCTAGCCCTTACCTTCTCCCGCTGGACCTGCGCCAGTTGTCGCCGGGCCTCGGCCAGCTCTAGGTGGTGTCGCTGCATCTGCTCCCGGGTCAGTCGCAGCTGTTGGCCCTGGGCCAGCTCCTCCTCCCTGTGGCTGCTGCACTGCTGGCTCAGCTCCTCAATCCTCTGCAAGTTGGAGAGAAACAAATTTATTTCAATCCCAACAGAACTATGTTCACTTGACAATAGATTTCAACCCTCTGCAAGGTGCAAAGAAGCATGTTAATTAGATCTCAAGGGAACAATTGCAAACTACTGACCTTAAAGTCTTTTATGTAGTAATATGAACTCTAACCTCTAGGAAGACTTGCAGAGTGTCACTTTTACACGATATCCCAACTTTTGAAAAAGGAATCATATAGTGGTGTACTTTTAAAATGCAGCGAATCACAACAAACATAGACTCTTGAGAGTCATTTGACTATTTGTACAAAATTAATTATTGCCATAATTTCTTAGTATGTGCTAAACTAACAAGCCGTGTTCAACAGTCAAGTTCCAAGTTCAACACATGATCCACCTCAACAGACTTCCTGAATGGTTAAATGTGTATGTACAAAACCAATGGAGGATTTAAACATGAATAAATGTCTTTTGCTGTAGACTCACCTAATGCTCCGTCATTTTAAGCCTTCACAGATAGGTTATATTGACCCATCCTAAGGTGTGAAGTGGTTGGTGCTCTCTTCTAGCACCTCAGAATCTTTATAAAACCTCAGCCCTATTTCGCTTTGGCTGTCCTCAAACCTACCTTTTGTAGCTGTGTGATTTCCGCAGCCTTGTGGCCGATCTCGTTCTTCTGTCTGCTCACGAGTTGCTCCAGTTGCTGCACCTGCAGGGCTCGCTCTTTGAGTGTTTCCTGCTGCTCACCGCACCTGTCGTCCAACTCGCCAATCTAAGATAAGATTCAACAACCGTGCTAGGCGTACACACGTACAAATGTCGCTGAAGCCATGTGCCAAATTTTACTTCAGTTCTTCCATTGCTATTCCTTCTTGATGCATACCAATAGTAGTGTCAAGTCTATTGAGGGACTAGGGGCCATTTAAGGTGACAATCTTTGGAACTTGAGATATGTAGGATGAATGCTACCTTCAGAAACTAGGTAACTAGAGTGCAATAATGTAAATTTGTACCAAGGAATGCTTCACAGGCTTTGCAACTTCTTTAGGCCCCTATCTGCTTTGGAATTCTTGTATCAATTTTTGACCGTCACGAGAAAATGAATATTCCACATCAGCCAAAGGCAGCGTATGTTGAAAATGCAAAATACTGGCTTTACGCTCAATCTAACTTCAATCAACCCATGCTCAAATATCATTTTTAGTATAAACAAATAAAACTCTCTACTCAACCTCAGTTTTCGGTGCTTGAGAGGAGACTAGTTTGCCAGCCTTCCTCAGTATGGGGATTATGCTTCACGCTTTTTCAACGGTTCCTTGCTATGTTAAAGTAATTTTTGCTGAGTACCAACTGCAAGGGGCCTGTACCTTTCTGGAGCACTGTTTCAGTTCATACTGGCTCTTGCTTAGGCTGTTCTCCAGCTGCAGGATTTTCTGGTCGGCTTCACTGCGGTGTTCCTTAACCACTGTGTCCAGCTGGCTCACCTAAAACAAAATTAAAATGAATAACTGTACCACTAAGAAACAATCAAGCTGGTTGACACAAGACGATTTCCCAAGAGGCATGACTACCAATGCACAACGAGTGAAATATATTTTCCTTATGCTTTAATGAGAAGAAACAATTCCTGAATAATGTCAGAATGATGATGTAAGGCCACTATCCATCAATACTGTGGTCAACTACTTCACAAGCACTGGACAAGTACTTAACATTGCTTCTTAAGTTTTTATAAGTACCCCACCTCTAATGAGGACCACAAGGTATAGATCTTTGTCATCGGACACCATCTTCGTAGGAAATTGCAGCTATGTGTTCAATGCCAACGAGCACATATACATCCAAATATCCTTGAAATATGGGCACGGCCAACGCACGTCACAAAAATTTGACGGAAGGATATCACGTGAGGGAGACTTGATCATGAAAATGCAACAAAGACGTTCCTTGTCACTGGCTATTTATGGTCAGTGAAAGTGCTTGTGACAGCACTCGAGATGACTATGTTTATACACTGTAAACTAACACTGACCAGACTGACTGACCCAGCCTACCTGGGTGGCTCTTTGCTGCAATTCTCGCTGGCTGCTCTTCAGCGCCTCGTCCATCTCTGCCATGTCCTGCTCACGGTTCCTGGCCTCGTTCTGACTCCGCCTGGCAAGATGGATGATTTTGAAAAATGTGAAGTACTCCTGAAGTACTAGGGAAGTACTCGACTATAACAACATGCTATTACACCTGAGGTTGTCAGTGAGTTCCTGCATCAAGTGCTGCTTCTGTTTGACCTTGGCCGAGTTGCACTGCAGCATTCACCTGTTTGAAGTACTTACGAAAGTACCTGTAATCATTGTTTAGTGCTAGTGTAGTACTTAACAATAACATGATGCTTACCTCAGCTCATTGGTGAGTTCCTGCATCCAAAGCTGCTTTGCTTGGCCTTGACCAAGCTCAGCAGCCACTTTAAAGTAACGGTTATAATTGGCAAGTACTTGTCGTGCGGTACTTGTGTAGTTTTAACGATAATACGGTACTAACCTCAGCTCATCGGTGAGCTCCTGCATCCTCTGCTGCTTCTGCTTGGCTTCAGCCCGGCTGCGCTGCAGCACTCGCTGCAGCTCTGACAGCTGCTTGGTGGCTGTTTGCACCTCCAGCTGGGCCCGGTTCAGCTCCCCGTCCAGCTCCAGCGACTGCTCCCGGTGGGCCTGGTTCTCCTGCCTGATGGTCTCTAGGGCCCCCTCCAGGTCAGACACTGAAGTTCACGAAAAAATAACCCAACCAATTCAAAGATATGTCATATTGAAATTATGTGGCAAGCACCCACACACTCTGTGGGGCATGGCTGTGGCTACGAGCTGGTAGTTTCTTTCCAGCCATAGCTAACTGATTCAGACACTGTTGTGCTGACCAAGAGCTGCTTTATTATATCGTAATCTCAGTGAAGGCAAAGGCAAGCACAGATTTGCAACTTCACAGCATACGCTCCTGCTGAAAATTTGCTCAGCTCCTGTTCAGTTCCACAATTCATCCTGAATTCATTTCATTCATGTTCACATTCACTTTCTCGGTGAGTAGGAATCAACATTTACCCAAGAAATCTCAATTCATTGGATGTATTGACCAGAAGGATTCTGACAGTAGCCGAAATCCAGAATCAAATGATTACAAATCAAACTACAAATTCACTGAGCAACTAGGACAACAAACCCTTTGTAAAGTCACGACGTGAGAATGTAACAGTCCTGGTGAATGCAAAACCAAATTTGCAAGATGGTTATTCCACTAAATAAGACGCACACAACTCTGGGACCTTTTTCCACGGCCATGGGAGCGTGCAGATTCTTCAGACAATCTGTTGGGTGATACAGCATGCGTTCCCAACTACGACAGGGTCTATCCTAATGAAACACTCCCTGAGCATTCCAAGCCTCAAGACCCTCCTTCGACCGCCGTACTCTCGGAACACTCGGCTTCATCCTGACCTTTGGCCGTCATGTTCTCCAGCTGCAGCTTGGCCTCTCTCAGTTCCCCCTCCAGCTGGGTTGCCTTGGCCGCGTGGTTGTCGCAGTCCTGCTTGGTCTGGCTCAGCTGCAGCTCCAGGTCGGCTGAGCGAGTGTCAGCCTCAGCAAGGTCGGCCTGGGCTTGACTGGCACCAGAGATGGAAAGGAATGCAAAGGACTGAATAAAATATCAAATTATATAAGTCTGATGTACAGAAGCTACTCTAGTATACAACGAGGAAATCATAAACATGAACATTTAGAACTGCGCAAGACTGTACAAAACTACTTGAATATTTAATGCCAAAAAGGGTGAATTAAAATCAGAAGGAATTTAAATACTGGGTCAAGGTTGTGAAGTCAAAACTTCATATCAGATTACAGCAATAATGATATTGTCACACTAAAATAGATTGTAAATGTGGTATACCGTGGAGTCTTAAATTGAAGTGGGTATGTCAACCTCAGAGAGTAACGGTAAGCAATATTTCTTATATTTGTGATAAATCCATGTAGAGATGATTGTACCTCCCTCCAATTTAGTCAACTTGACCATGATCAAACAACGAAGGATGCTCGGAAGTTTTCTAGAACCTCACAGCATCTCAGATCATCTGCATGTGACAATTTTCACTCCTTACAATCAAATTGGCAGGGACCAGAACTAAGAATAGATGTGTCACAGCATGCGTACACGGATGCATATAAACATTTAGAATAAGTGGATTCAGAGAGGCCAAAGGCTCCTTAGTTGCTCCTTGATTGGCTGACCAGTCTCTCATCTAGTGCCATATTTAGGACTGGGGTAGAGTCTAGGCTCACAGGTTCTCTTTTCCCAACTACCTGAGAGCCTGGGTTGCTTCAGTCAGCTGACTGGTCCGATCCTCCAGGTCCATGCAGGCTTGGTGTAGCTTCTTCTCAATCAGGGCTGCGTCCTTCTCGGCCGCGACAGTCACATGGTTTAAACCTTTCTCCAGATGGGACACCTGTCAAAAGACACATCAAAAATGACATACTTGAATGACATGTTAAGTTTAGATTTTTATGTAAGGGCCAACTTGTTGTCTTCACCAAGGTTATTTGTTACGGCCCAGACATTTCAATTCAACTTCCCGATACGACATGAAGATTGCTCAAAATATTTCCATAGAATTGCAGCAGAGCCCAATTTCTTGGGTTTCTAAACAGAAAATGCTGCATAAGAACTTTACGTGTTCAGCAAAAAGCAGCTGGGATCAAGTCACACCCTAAGCACATTGCATGACGTTTTGGTTGGTAACCAGCTGTATTGCCCTAAGCCAAAGTTTCCTGGGTTTAGGGACTCACCTGGTGCTCCAACTGCCCTTCCTTGTCCTCTAGCTCAGCCAGGCGCGCTGTGCTCTGCAGCAGCATTTGCTGCCGTTCCTCCAGGGCCCGCTCCAGCTCCGAGACCTGCTCGGCACTCTGCGCCTGCTGGTCCCTGGCCTGCTCTAACTGCTTCTCCAGCTTCCTTATCTGCTTGGGCAAAGTATCAAGTGCCAGTTAGCATCTACACAGCGTTATTAAGTGCTCAACAATGATACTTAACCGTATCAGCCGACATCTCATTCACCTACTGCATACTAAGTTAAGCCCTCAGAGGTACCAGATTGCTTGGAGCATACGGATGTTATTGCAATAAAGCAGACTGCTCAAGGACATAAGAATGAACTGTGCAGGGGTTTATGAAGCTACACGACTGTTGCATTAATTCAACTTAATTTGGAGACTCTGATCATTACAAGTCCATATCACCTGCTCTTTTCTCTCCTTCCTCACCCCATTTGTCACAGTGTCTAAACACCTAGTGCTCATCTCGGTTTATGGCTTATTATCCTAAGGTCTGTTTTCATTGCCCTGTCTTTCTTACTCTCCGTGACCCTATTTGTTACGGTCTCAATGCACACCCCTCTTGCGGTCAGTAGTTTACCATCACAGCCATCGTCCAGTCTGTCTGTATGCCCGCGTCTCTCTGCCTGCCCCCCACCCTATTTGTCTCTGCCTCCTGTACCTCACTCTTCTTGGTCTGCAGCTCCTTGTCATGTCTGTCCCTCATGTCGTCCAGTCTGTCTATGTAGCCGGTCAGCTCCTCTTTGCAGACCACAAGCGCAGCCTCCAGCTGTGAGATGCGGTAGGCATCATCCTTGACCTGGAGCTGTAAGGAATGCGTGGCCTCGCTGTGCTCTCTGGTCTTGTCTTCAAGGTCCTTATAGGGGGACAAACAAATGGAATGCCTTGCGTTATTATGAATGCCTTCAAACCCCCAAAATTAAGACAAATTAGAGGTATGAAATTTATCTTTTGAGGATTACAACTGACTAACTTCAAAGCTCTGTGCTGCCTCTGTCTCTCCTTGGAGAAAGGGACTTAGCTGCAGAAATTGTGCCAAGTGTACAACTCCCAAGAGCTATTTAATCACATGGAGAGCATACACAGCATTGAGCATGTGAATGATGTGGAGTGTTGGTGGCCATTTTGTATTTTCAACTGAATGGGTAAAAATATGTAGCAACTTTGCATAATAGGGTCATGCCTGAGTATATGAAGCCATGCGGCAAAAATGATGCTGGAGAGTCCACGTGTGATTGTCTTGTTTCACTTCTCTCAGTAAGGCACCAACTCCATGGACAAGGTGCCTACTACTTGGTTCAATTTGCTTTTTTAAATCAAAAGGCATTCACTGAAATACAAAGTCCACAAAACACATACCCTTCTGGTCTTGTCCAATTCCTCTTTGAGCTGTTTGCTGTGATTCCGTTGCGTTGTCAGTTCACCTTGGGCTTCGTCAATGGACAGGTTCGTGTTTTCAAGCTGGGTGGATAGTGTCTCTTTGCTTTCCAGGAGCTAGAAAAGTCCAGTATGAAAAAAATTCAAAGATTTCATTCGGAGGAAGATCCAGAAAAACTAACCCTCTGGAACTAAATATAGCTTTCCTCAAATCTTCTCGGAAAAGTCTTTCTCACTGAACAGATGCTGAAGCAAAGATTGGCTAGCCTGAGGTAAGCTTATGGCACAGAATGAAAGAAAGAAGTCGCTTCCCTGGAAACTTTGTCAGTGTTTCAAAAATAAATGAGCCAAGAGCTGTGCCAACATGGTGACCGTGGCCTTCAGTGGTTTGTAAATGCTCAACTCCTTGGCAATCTTTTATACTGCAGCTGTAATATTTACGATGAGGGCAGCACCATAGAGACTTGCAGTGAGCATTAAACAGATGTCAAGGATTTATTCATCGTGGTATTTGGATGAATGATGCCGTGCTTACAGATTCTATCTGCTGCAGCATCTCTTCACACTGCTGCGCGTGTAGCTCCTTGACCTTGGTCAGTGTCTCGCCGGTCTGCTCTGCCTCCTCTGTCTTCCGTTCCAAGTGGGTCTACAAGGAATACATGCAATGTGATTGGTGCCGTACTTAAGTTGAACATTAGACAAATCCCAAGTCAAATGGATGACCCTAAATAGAGACCTCCACGGCAGTTCAGAACCTTGGCGAGTTTGAGACTGCATCACCATCTTTTGTTTGTGACTCGTGCCTTTGGAGGATTTTTTCTTCGAGGCAAGTCCAAGAACCGTACCCTTTGTGACTGAAAAAGAAAGCTACATGATCTGGCCAGTTTGACGATGAGCGGCCAGAGTCATGAACCCAAAGCGGCCAAAGAATGACCAAACCGCTCTGTTGAAAACAGTTCACTTCAACAGCCTATTGACTTTTGATTTGATGACAAGTGACAGTGATGGACTCTGACTCCGTGCAAGCATTGTCACTGGTGCCGACAGTCAACACAGTCAAAAGAAGGGTTTCTGTGATGTCAACATTTGGAGACACGCTTTGAGCTTTAAGGGGCTAGGCTCACCTGGAGCTCCCGTAGCTCGGACATCTTCTCCTCAAGTAGCTGTTCCAGCTCAGTTAGTTTGGACGTGCATTCCTCAATGGAGGCCGTCTTCTCAGAGAGATGCTCCTCCAAGTGGGCCACGAGGCCGTTCTTCTTCCCGAGCTGAATTTAAGGTAGAGACACACAACAACCTTTGATACGCATGCATGCATGTTGGCAATTCACAGCACCCTGCTGGTCAAACAGGTACTCAACCTTCCTATATTAACTGTTCACAAGTGTGGTAAATGGCTTCCAATTCTGCTTACAGAAGCCCTTTGAGTTAGCCGGCCATTTGCTGCAGCGCTGTAAAACTATCCTTTTAGTATGCAGACCTTATTTGCATGTAGACTGTTAGGGGCTTAACCCTAACACTCCTCAGTCCTCCAACAGGTGAAGGATTGAGGAGGGTTAGGGATAATGCAAGACGGCACTGTAACTGCAGAGGCACTGTGCTCGTATGCACATTGTTTGACTGGATGGATGCAAAAGAACATTTTGGGAAGTTGCCAGACCCTATCAGTGGAGTACAATGCACAGAGGTACAGCCTGCCCACAGGCGTGGAGCCCACTGCAATTATAGCATCTGATCTTGGTCGCCAAACTAGTCTACTGAGGGAGATTCCGCCTACCTCGGCCTCCAGCGTGGAGACCTGCTTCTCCTTCTGGGTGATCCCGTCCTGCAGTATCTTCAGCTGGGCGTTGTAGTGGTCCAGCTGAGACTCCACGGCCGTGCTGTGGGCCTCCTGCTCTGTAAGCCGCTCCTGCAACTGCGCCAGCCTGCCGGCGTGCCTCGTCCGCTCCTCCTCGAGACGGTTGATGATGCCCCTCAATTCCTGGGCCTTGCGGTCGCCTGATGAGATGGCAAGAGCAAAGTAAAGACTGCAATGAGGAGTAGGATGGCATCGGGTTCGATCTGACGTTATCTGGGCACTTTTTCTGCCTGTCATGAGCAAAGATACTGATACCTTGGGAAGGAGCAATGGTGCAGCATTCTTGAGGTTGCAAGGATTCAAATCCCAATTTTTTCGGCAATTTTTTTACATCGACATTGTACTCAGGTTTATAACCTCTAGCCAGCACCCAGATATTGAGACCTTTGCCAATTTGGAATGCACTGGCACAGTGTTCTGGAGGTACTAGGTTCAAACCCTGCTGTAGTCAATATTTCTGAGATCTCTTTTTCAATATTTCAATGTTCTTTTAGAAACAATTGCGATCAAAATATCGCGGATGAAAATGGGAATGATGATAACAGAGATAGCAATAATGAAAATAACAAAACAGCTAAACAATTAGGACGTTACGACAGAAAATAACAGCCACAAGATACAATGCACTGAATGAACCTTCCTTTTCTGAAATGGTACATTTTTTCTGTTGATTACTCATTCCAAGTGATTGATTGCGAATAAAGGACTTGCAGTGCTGTTTTCAAGAGTACACTCACCAATTTTGTTCTTCTCCACCAGGGCAGTGAGTTCTGAGCGCAGTCCGTCCATTGTGCCGCTGCTCGCCAAGGAAACGCCTGCGGAGTCGCGCTGCCGAGCCGCCTGCAGTCGCTGGTTCTCTGCTTCTTTCATGGCTAACTTCATCCTAAGTGCAAGAGCAATTGGAATCTAATTAACATCATTATTAATCAGTGCGGCCAAGGTGGCTAATTTCAATATGGGCGATTCCCAATAGTGCACCTCCAAGAGTTTGCAACTCGTTGGCCAATCACAACGCGCGAAATCTGTCGACCCTTTCCAAATGCGCATTGGGTCGACAGGCTTTGTGCATCGTGATTGGAACCATGCTGAGCTGGTTCAGTTGATCACCACTTTGGATAATATGCGTACTAATGCTGACAGGACCACAGTTTTCTTGTGAATCGTACTTTAACACGTGGGTTTGAACATGCCGGGACGTGAACCCTGAAATCACAACTCATCTCTCAGAATAAAACTTTCCATTTGGACAGGAAAGAGACAATATTGTAGAGCACTTATGTCATACCGACAGCTTTCTCCTGCCATGACTGACAATATTCTGGTTTCTAGTTGCACATGTTAAATACCTTTCATTGTCAGGCGGCATCCCCTAAGAGCAAGATAAACTATCACAATACATGGATTATGTCTAGTTGTATTTTTATTCACTGCAGCCGTCCTAAGTAAACTCCTTGCTGAAAGTGCCGTTTAAACTATATAGCCTGAAGAGCACTCCAGCTGAGTGCAGATACCACTGACATGACAAATGAAAGTGTGTCCTTCAAACTGCGGCTGCATATAACACAGCTGCCTGTGGAAACCCCAAGCTAGCAGCTTTCATGCATTTCTCACAGACTCCTGCGTTATGTCAAGCCGCAGCCAAGCAATTTGGACACAGCCATATCCGTACTTGAGCTGTGCTATCAGAGCCCTGTTGCTTCCAGCACCGACAATTCCCCCCGAATCCACGTCGTCGCTCCAGGTGGTGTTGTGGGCCTGGTCGGCTGAGAGGGCGCTAGGCGCCGGGCTGTTATTCCACTGACCCGGATGTGTCCCCTGGCCTGGGTCTGAGTTAGGGCTGCTAGTACGTACCGGGCGGGGTACGTCGTAGCCATTATTGAGGGTGAGCGATGAATCTCCAGAGCTTCTCTGACACAGGAACATGACAGTAATATGTGTTGACAATGTGTTATTTATTTAGATCACTGTATATTAGTGCTGTAGTCGAGTTCATCACAAGTCCTTTCATGAGTCCTTTTACAAGTCCTTTCACAAAACCAGTCACAAGTAACAGGTTGAACAATGACAGAGGAATGCTTCTGTCACAGCTCATTTGAGTAGCTCATGACTTGGTTTAAGACTGAATGACTTGTGATGGACTTACAGGGACTTGATGAAGGGACTTGTGATGGACTCGACTGCAGCACTGCTGTATATGTTGCAGACATTTGTGGGGCAACAGTAAAACCAGCGGATTTCGCACTGTAATGATGCCACTGGAAATATCGGCATGTAAAATGCCACAACTGTAAAGTGTGCAAGAAGCAGGAAATAGAATCTTATTTGCCCTGAGCGGAACAAACAGAGGGCATAATTTTCCAAGCAATGGATGCTCCTTTGGTGGGAACAGGTACTTCACTGGTTAATGAATGACACTAACTCCCTCGTTGACAGCGCAGTCCCATTTCTTGGACTTACCATCTGGGCCTGCAGCTTGCGTGCCATCTCTTCCAGCCGCTTCAGCTCGCTGTGGCTGGCCTCAATGTCCCGCTGGCAGTCCGCGAGCCGCTCGTTCTGCCGCTGCGTCAGCTCTGTCAGCTCCGCATTCTCCCTGCCCTTAGTGTCCAGCTCCCCCCTCAGCTGGTCCAGCTGATGTCGCAGGCCGGAGATGGTGGACTGCAGGTCCTGGCTGGACGCTTCCAAGTCCCGCGCCGACTCCTCCCTCAAAACCCTTGACAATAAATTGACCAAATTAGACTCCCATTTTTTTTCAATCATGTAAGACTTCTAACATTGAACATTTTATCTTCAAACTACAGGACATGCATATATCCATTTGAAAAACAGATTAAATTTTTCCACAATTATGAAATACTACAGAATGAAAATATAGAATTTTTTAAATAAATGTGAAAGTCTTTTATGATTGAAAAAATGGGAGTCTGATTTGTATTTCTTATGTATCAGCTTTTAGCTTGTTTATGATATTGTAAGAAAATGTCTTTCTTTTTAAATTTTTTAATGGTATATAGTGTACAGCGCTTTGTGATGTTGTTGACATGGAAAGCATTTTTAAATAATTCATATTATTATTATTATTATTAGAATGGGTGAATAAAACTTTATTTTTTGCTGTGTTAATTTCCAGAAGGTGGGATTCTTAAAGGTCCAAAAATGAAATTTTGGACATAAACTCTTCAATTCTTCGGTGGAGTTTGTCACCCTAAACTCCCTGTAAGCTGCTACTAAGTCAATGGAGAAAAATAAAGCAAAAGGCAATCTCAATCACTTGCATCCGTACTAGCTTACCCAGGGAGGTTACGATTGAGTTTCAGGTGCTAAGGTGATAGGGGTTACTGAGTGGGTTTTTACCAGTATGACTACGGACAGAAATTGATTTCAAAACCTATTTTTGAGGGAACAAGGGCTAAAACTGGACAGACTTTGGCATAGTCCTATCTCCCAATCCCTTGGAGTATGTGTGGCCAAAATGTTCACACAACTCAGAAATTTCTGCCATTCTACCTAAAGTTTTCCCTGGAATCTTGTAGCTCTTCCTCCAGGGCTGTGGCCTTCTCCAAGAGCTCTTCACGCTCCTTGTCACAGTGCAGCAGACTGTCTCTGAGATGGTCCTCTGTGCTTTGGTACTATCCACACATTCAAGATAAAAAAAACCCACAAGATCTTAAATCCTTTACTGTTGACTAAATTTGGGGAAATCGGTCTTGTTTGAGGATCTGATCATAAAGGGTTCATTAAATCATGGAGCACATTTCTACACAAAGGACTTTTGACTTTTTTTTCTTTAACTGTAGCAACTTGAAAACCAAGACTGTTGGAGGTTATTGAGACAAAAATGAATAAACAAAAGCAAACATATCATACCCTCCCACCAAAAAAAGAAAAGAAAGAGAAAAAGAAAGCAATTGTTACTAAATGTCCATCCAGTAATGTTAACTACCTTTTTGAATTTCTCCTTGGTCTTGTTCCTATACTCGTTCAGTTGGTCGCTGAGGTCTTCCAGATTCTTCATGGCCTCATCTCGCTGATTTTCAGCCCTACAATAATTGGTGACAGGTAGACAGGATATAAGACAGGTTTGAAGACTGGAAACCCCACAAAGATCACCTCTTTGTTGTAGAAATTGTTAAAAATAATGGGAGCGGTTCTGCTGTAACTGGCCAACTGGCAATCTGGTATTCAAATTCTGCATGATGAGTGGATTTCCTCCCCCTTACCTTCTTCTCTGCTGCATCTCAAAAGTCAACTCTGACCTGACTGTCTTGGTCTCCTCTCGACCTTGTCTGATGAGAGAGTCTTTCTCTTGGAGTTCGCGCTCATATTCCACAAGCTTCTGATCAGCAGACCTTACCAAATGAGAGCATATGTTTACGATTCTACAGTTTCGCATGGCGTGTAGAGATTTGCTCCAAAAAGGAGCACACAGAAACGATTATTTTACAATGCCTAAATCACTTCGAATGCAGATGTTTTAATGATAAACAAGAACACTTCCAATACCTATTACATACTGACCGATGCCTATTACATGCTACTGACTAACCAAGCACCTGTACGTATACCGCAGTGCTGAGGCTGCATCACACTAATATGCCTACCACACCTGTTGCACAAACTGTGCCGCTATTTTGGCAAGTATACACCACAATGATTGAAGAAGCACTAAACATGTACGCATGTATGTGATCTGCATCCATGGAAAGCTTCACTGGCTCCACTTCCAGTATATAACGTCCTCTAACTGCACTTAAAATGTTGGCATCTTGTTCCAATAGCAATGCCACGAGCCTTACTTCCATACAAGCCACTTACATTCGCAGAGTTCAATCAATGCCATTCACCAAATATACTCTATATAATTTCCACACACATTTTGACTTCTGATCTCACATGCACTGAACATACGGCCATATAGCCTACAATATCTCTGGGGCAGGATATGATGTTACAGCCCAGTTTTATCCAAGGTTACTGCCCGGTGGACAGGGTTAACAATGAAGACATAGGATTATGGGGTACCTGAGTGCCTCGTCGTCTAGTCGGATGCTTGACTCCAACTTTGCAACTCTGTCCCGCAGTGAAGGCACTTCCCCCTTGGTAGATTCCAATTCATGGCTAACAGCTTGCAGCTGTGGACACGTGTCAACATTTACATTAACAGTTGATGTTGACAAGAACAAATGACACGGGGATCCTTTACAATTTTCCCTTATCCCTCCCAAGTAACTGCAGAAAGTTTTCAAGCCTTTTCAGTATACAAATTTGATACTTGTTAACAAAAACACAAATCACTGGGGAGACACAAACAACTTTTTTTTTTTGCACTGAACTTTCAAGGAGCATTAAGGACCTCACGACAAGCAATTCTAGATGGGCTCAGTGCTTCACAATCCTGTAAAATTGTTCAAAACCTCTTAGTGGAGTTTGAAGGCTCTTAACATAAAATCCTCGGGGGTCAAATAGTGTACAGGGCTACTGACGGCCAAAGTCACTATTCTCAGTGAGATCGATGTGAAATTGACGTAACGAAAACCAAAGCCTAATTTTACCTGGGTTTTGGTTGAGCGTAGCTCATACTCAGTACTCTCCAACTTGTTGAGTAACTGGTGGTTACTAGAGACTAGCTCAGAGTTTTCATCTCTCAGTGCTTGCAGCTTCTTTCTCAGCGACTCGTTTTCAAAGTCGTGGGTAGACGGCACTGAACCCTGCACAGACCCGTTCTGGTAGCATGAAGTTTGAATATCATATATTTGTGTGTAGTAAGCATAGGAGAATTTGTGTCTTCACTCACAAAACATGACATTAACCCTAACTCCCTAGGGTATGTACAAAATTATATTAAAATTGGGGGATTCAGGACTGTTAGGGTTAAAGGAAAACAATGTCAAAGTTCATTTAGGAGAATTTCAAAATGGGCAAATTTGACTATTTTTTTACTGCACTCTGTGAATGTTCACAGTGCTGGTTTGTAATTATCTGATGCATTTTGTCATGATTAAGTGTTTCTCTGGAAAACTGGAAAAATGTAACTGTGACAGCAGAAATTTGTGACAGGTAAATTTTTTCTTTGTAAGTCTTTATAAGTGCTTTTTCTTTTATAAGCTCTTTTATCAAAACATCAATCTGCTTTTTAAAAGAAAATATGTGGCTGAATGAACACATTTTGTTAGACGACGTGCAATTTCTCTCCCCTCAAAAGGCAATGCATCAAAACCCAGGTGTGATAACACTTTTCAAAGTATATTTCAGCTCAAATTGTCCTGTGTTATGCTGAAAAAAAAAACCTACCATTTTGAGCTGCTGCTCTGGGCCGGGAGTCTGCGTGCTGTGTGCCCCCTGCATGGCCACAGCGTCACGGTGGAAGCTGTAAGGGAATCTGATCCCTCTGTCTGAGGACCTGATGTCCAGATAGTCTTCGCTGAGGTCGTCCAAGGTAAGAGGTTGCAGGGTTTCGTCTGCCAGCGAATCACCGTCAGAAGATGCTGCGTACCTGTACAGAGTCAAGCGTCAAAAGATCAAAGCAGGAAAATAAATAAAGCTGCAGAGCGAAGAGCGAGGCCGATGCATGATGTTCTCCTAAATGCTGTTTTTCATACAGGGCTTGGTGATGTAAACACTGTCCAGTTGTGCTTTGCTGCATGAGATTCCTACAGATCAATACAAATGTAACAAGCACCACAAAACTTGTACAATGCTAGGATTAAAGCAATCAACCAATCCAGTGATTACACCGTTTGTGGGGCAAGGTAGTCATCCTTTGGTTGAAAGCACTTCTATGACACAATTGGCTGCAGTAGCATTTGGAGGAATACCAAATCAAAGACTAGGGACACAGTGCCGATGGCAAAACTGCCTGAGCGAAGTTGTAGTGCTGATAAAACGTACAAGATTACCACTGTACATTCTGCACTTGCAAAATAACCGTATCTCCGCTTTACCTGCACAACCTGGAGAACTACATGTACATGTACAATTTAGTTAACTTACTAATCACAAGCAATTAACAAATATTCCATATCATACCTTTACAGATCCAAATTGCATTACGATACTCATAGTTGTCGACCTGAATGCAACCGATGATATAAAAGTCACAGAGTCACCATTAACAAGCTGAGTGTGCTACATATACATAGCTTCTCCTCAAACGACATCCAACACGCTTTCCAACGATACCATAACAACTGTCCAATTTCTAAAGGAGTCCCTCTTGTTAACCCACGCTGAACTCCACTTGAATACACACGTCCACCACCGGGAGAACACTTAACAGGCATTCGATAGCTTTTGAGTTGGGAAATGCAAATACGCTTCACCAATGGGAGGTGGTACTCATGTTTCGCCAGGGTCATCTTTCTACTGGGCTATTGTAACTTGTGTTGACAGAACTCATTGATAGCGCAGAGGATTATTTTTCTTTTTCTACTGTTTGCTACCCAGCTATGGAACAAACCTGTATGCTCATTTATCACTCTTTTAATAAAGTTAACAATTTATCAAATCACACTGTGAAAATATTTACCTTCACATCAAACTGGTTTATGCTTTTTACACATGTAGGTCAAACTTTGCCAGGTATAACATTCTTATTCAGTTTCATTAGCAGGTATATTATGTTTGTCTTCCCAACGTCAATGTGGTTTTCAACACAACCCGTGGGGTTGGGGAGAAAGTTTACGTTTATTTTATAAATTGTAAGCAATTTGAGTTTGGCAGTTTCCACAAAAAATTCTTAATTGATCAGTAACAATGATAACGATAAAAAAGGTAATAATTCATTAATTCCTTGAAATACAGAGTATACCAATTCAAACATATTGAAATCCACGGCAAACGCATTTCAATCATTATAGTTACTGTATTTTATTATATTCATTCAATTATTATTATCATATTAAACAAAAAGTAAATTTCAGACAAAACCATGTAAACCACAAACACTGAGAGATGATTTGGCTATTCTTCAAAATATGATAATGAGATAAAATGGACACCTGCTGTATGCATGCTAAAAAGGCAAATCCAACTTCCTTTGTGAATGGTTGAGTATCCACGTAACAAAGGACTCCATTCATGAAACCACACTGGGCCTTTCCGTCCAAGGAAATTAAATTCATAATGACACTAAAGAAAATCAATGATCAGCACCTTGAATCAAAGGCATTCCGATCTGAGGGATAATTTGAGTCATAGAGTATTTGATATCTAAAAAGTGACTTTTCCTGTTGGTTTTCTCAAAAATTTGTAAACATTTATAGTGTAATTGCAATATTTCAAATTTGTGAAAAATTTCATGCTTTGAAAATAAACCCTTCACTGAATAATGCAATTTTTTCGAAAACACAAAACTACATAAGTTTAGATTAAGCTTGAATATTGCACCGAGTATATTGTACATGTTGATCATGCATGTACAACCTGACGCTATTACACCCTGGATATGGGGCTCTTACATGTACTGTATAGGCGTTCACACGGCATTAAAACTTGTAAATTTTGGTGAGGACTTAAAAATATATTGCAATGGGAGAGGGGGCAGTCACGGTTCAGAAAAATACCTTATCCAAAGTCAAGTTCCGTTCTTGACATCTTTGGAATTGGAAGCATAAATAGACAGTTTCTTCCAATATCAAGTTTATATTGTGCTAAAGGCAATTTTCCAGAATGTAAATGTGATGTAGCACCCAGAAGTTTTGACTTGGTGGCAAGATTTTAAAACTTGGTGACTAGTTATATAAACATGGTACAAGACAAACAAAACGTGGTTGGCTGCCAGGCTATTTCTATAGGTTGGAGAACAGTGTACATGGAGTGAAAAATGTAACACTACCAAACAACAATAATAATGGATAATTATAAGGCACGCGTACATGCATCCTCCACACTCAAAAAGCCACATCATTTACTACCCCTGCTCACTGGGCCCACAAACATTCCTAAAATCAATGCCATCATTTCAGGTGTAAACTGCAAAGTTATCTCTGGCCTCCCGGGTACCCATTTCTACTCCTGTGTGGAGAGAGGCATGGAATAAAGTGACTCACCCGGGGTCGTAACATGCGACCAGCAGCTGGATTCGAACCCCTGCTTAATTGTTCTCAACTTACAAACCCTAACCACTTTGCCTCTTGCCTCCTGGTAGAATGAGGGTGACAAATTGTGATATCAAGAACGGACTGCTGAGTGCGTACCTGGTGTCATCTCGAGGTGTCTGCAGCATCTGGAGGCTTCGCTCCGTGTGCAGAAGTCTCTTCCTGATGTTGCTGACGTTCTTGAGTAGCAAGTCACCGTCTGTATCTGACTCAGACGTCATGCTCAGTCATCTGAAGTAAAACAAAAAAACCAAGGCTGTCTAGGGGTTGTCAAAAATACCCATCAAAGTTAAAGGTGTTCAAACCTTTGCAGAACAATGTAGCTGAAGGGAGAAAACAAAAACGACCAAGCATGGAATAAAAGTATCGCACCTTCCACGATATCATTCATATGGCAGTTTACCAAATGCGAATGCCTCACAAATGTTTCGCTGTTAACCTTAAAAGGCTCTGGGAGTAGCTGAAACATGAATGCTTTAATTGAAAGTCAGAGAGGCTTACAGAGAGAAATTTTTAAAAAGCACACAATTTTTTCCATAAGAAATATCCTGAACTGAAGATGAATGTTCCTAAAAGCATGTATAAGTGCAAGGTGCATTGTTTGGAAGGCTTCCCAACAGCAAGTGTTGCATCAATGACAAGTAAGCATAATTTGTACTCATAGCCATGGATACATTGTACTGATGTTACCAGCAGGTGTTGTCTCATTCACATGTGGATTGAGTTGGTGTCAATCAGCTTGTGTGATGCCACTTTGCAGCACCTGGCTCACTTCCTGATTATCCCAACGATAACACCTCAATTTTTTTTCTTTTAGAATTCTGTATAATACAGTGAGGCAGGACTCCATATGAAAAGTTTACAAATGCATAGAGCTCATTCAGAAGAGAATTTATATTATTCAGACACACAAATTATTAATCATGTAAATGGCTTTTCCCCATTATTGAAAATTAGTGTCTGCATTTGAGCATGGAGCTATTGTACACAAGGAGTAAACACGTACAGAGATCAAAAGGGTCAATGATGACCACCGCCAGCACTGCACGTGCTGCAAGGACAAAACAAATTATGTGCCGCTTGCGGGCTATAAGGAATGCTTGCAGATGCATTGAAGGTACCGCGCATGCGTGTCCGTAACACTTCCGCATGTTCAACATGGCCGCCTTGAGATGGAAACCACCATCATTGGAGACTCAAATTTCCATAATTTTAGTGATTGTTCTGATATTCCGATGACAATGAAAGTCTGGTTACGTCTTTACATCCCCAAAATGTCTCTCTTAGCAGTAAACAGAACTACTAACNGTTGTCAAATGCATTTCTGCAGCATGTTTCCACCTTCTTTTAATCGTAGGAACCACTAGGATTGCGACTTATGATATAAATATCGAAGTTCATATTTTGGGTATTTGTTCTCTACCGCTGGAACCGCCTTTGACTCTAAAATCATCCGGCGTTTTGCCAAATGACCACTGCCGATTCAGAATTTTTGAGCGCATCTGCGGGGATCACTCGCTGGCTCCTGAGGACTACGCATCTTCTTCGTGCGTCATTTCCACCATTTATTTACTCCAGCATGCCGCAGCGAAACACAGGGAGTATGTGGGTTACCAGCTAACTGGCGATGGCGATCACTGTGTACAAAGAATGTCTAAGGGTCTTCAACACTGGGGCCGGTAACAGCGCCTTACCTATGGAGCCGACCAGAGCAGTTAATCGCATTACCGTCTGTAGGGGCTTCGTTCTAATTCCTTGTGTTTAATAGCTCCATAATTTGAGTTCTTATATCACTTTGGCAGTCCAGGCTTTGAATAGCTAAATGATGCAATTTCCAAGTAGCTCCCACCAACATCAGTTGTAACAATAGAAGCCCATTGCCTGAAGCTTGCAATGATAAATTGGTCTGTTTATTCTAGCCTGGTACTTTGACATGCATGGATGACTTGACGCCAAAGGGAACTGGACATATTATACAAATTTAAATTTTTAATCTTGGTCAAAGTGGTCATGCATCTGGAACTAGTTATAACAATTGCAACATGTCAGCTGTGTGTTTAAAACCCTCCTGTGCTAAGACACATTCTTGACACAGTTGTCATATCAGTCAAATTTCCCATACACTGTATGTGTCTATGTACTGGGGGAAATCAAGTGGAAGGCATTTTTGACTGTTTTTGATGGTTAAAACAGAAGGAGGGTTTTAATTAGCAAATTTTACAAAAACAAGAAGTGCAGACACTCAGTATCGACATGGCCAGACATGAAACTGTTTTCCTGGTCATCGTGGTCATGAAAATTCATGTGACTTTTATGAACCAAAAATTGGGAGAAGAAAAATAAAGCCATAATGCCTTAACGAATGCAATGCACCAAACTGACATTGATCATGCATCACAAGCATGACATAACCCTGCATGCATCCAATAGGCTGATGCAGTGATGTGGCTTTTGTGGCTGTTCGCAAATGTTGCTTGAATTCCACAAGAAATATAATGACATCATTGTATAGTGCCATTTCTTTTACATGATGTAAATATGAAGCATGTTGTTACTTCACGACACGTTCATTTGCATCATTTTCAAAGCGAAATGATTTTGCATGAATTCAATTAAATGCTCTGATAACATGGATAACCACCCTGCGGTCCTTAGGAAAAATATGAACAGCCGGTACTACACTTTACTTACTATTTTTTTTAAAGCTTGGTGATAGAAATTCATTTAGCTAGCTAGCTTCGAACCATATTATGTCGTCTGCAAACTTTCCACTTTTNCTGGAACCGCAAAATGTCATAACTGACTCTAAAAACATCTGACTTTTTGCCAAATAACCACTGCCAATTCAGAATTTTCGAGCGCATCTGCGGGGATCACTTGCTGGCTCCTGAGGACTACAGAAGAGAACTATGCATCTTCTTCGTGCGTCATTTCCACCATTTATTTACTCCAGTATGCCGCAGCGAAACACAGGGAGTATGTGGGTTACCAGCTACCTGGCGGTGGCGATCACTGTGTACAAAGAATGTCTAAGGGTCTTCAACACTGGGGCCGGTAACAGCGCCTTACCTATGGAGCCGACCCGACCAGTTAATCGCATTACCGTCTGTAGGGGCTTCGTTCTAATTCCTTGTGTTTAATAGCTCCATAATTTGAGTTCATATATTACTTTGGCAGTCCAGGCTTTGAATAGCTAAATGATGCAATTTTCTAGTAGCTCCCATCAACATCAGTTGTAACAATAGAAGCCCATTGCCTGGAGCTTGCAATGATAAATTGGTCTGTTTATTCTAGCCCGGTACTTTGACATGCATGAATGACTTGACGCCAAAGGGAACTGGACATATTATACAAATTTTAATTTTTAATCTTGGTCAAAGTGGTCATGCATCTGGAACTAGTTATAACAATTGCAACATGTAAGCTGTGTGTTTAAAACCCTCCTATGCTAAGACACATTCTTGACACAGTTGTCATATCAGTCAAAATCAGTCAAATTTCCCATACACTTAATGTGTCTATGTACTGGGGGAAATCAAGTGGAAGGCATTTTTGACTGTTTTGACGGTTAAAACAGAAGGAGGGTTTTAATTAGCAAATTTTACAAAAACAAGAAGTACAGGCACTTGTCCTGGTCATCATGGTCATGAAAATTCATGTGACTTTTATGAACCAAAAATTGGGAAAAGAAAAGTAAAGCCATAATGGAATTAACGAATACAAATGCACCAAACTGACATTGATCATGCATCACAAGCATGACATAACCCTGCATGTATCCAATAGGCTGATACAGTGAGGTGGCTTTTGTGGCTGTTCGCAAATGTTGCTTGAATTCCACAAGAAATATAATGACATCATTGTATAGTGCCATTTCTTTTATATGATGTAAATATGAAGCATGTTGTTACTTCACGACACGTTCATTTGCATCATTTTCAAAGCGAAATGATTTTGCATGAATTCAATTAAATGCTCTGATAACATGGATAAGCACCCTGCGGTCCTTAGGAAAAATATGAACAGCCGGTACTGCACTTTACTTACTTTTTTTTAAAAACTTTGGTGATAGAAATTCATCTAGCTAGCTAACTTCGAACCATATAATGTCGTCTGCAAACTTTCCACTTTTTGAGTGTATCCGCCATTTTGAATGATCAAATAGCTCAAAATTTTGATTGGTTCAGAGAATTCGTTTAGGCAGACTCATAAGTAGTATCTTGCTGTGGATTAATGTGGAGTAGTCTTTATATAATGAAGTTATTTCCCAAAAATAATTTTATTAGAAATATATTATATTATTTGATTTCAAATAAATCTAACTTTATTGGTAAAGTCTTCCAAACTAATAGCAAACCTTACTATATTTATTTGGTGCGCATGCGCACTTAGATCAACCTTTTCATTTTTTGGTCAGCCCCCAGCCGAAGCTACCTTGAGTGGCCTGTAAAAAGGGCTGAGATTTCGCAAAATGGTACCGTTTTTTATTTGAAATAAACAGCTGGATATTATATTTGATATTTACATTTTACATTTACTTACAAATTAATTCTTTCAGAGCTACAGAAACTGAAAGATCGGACAGATTTTTAATCGTGTTGGGCCCTAATTTTGCTGGTCATCATTGAACTGTTCACGTTCCAACGTGGAGGCATATGCCACGACTTTTTTTTTTTTTTTACCGAAGCAAGCTTTCTGTGCTCGGAAAGTATTTAAACTTGCCCATGTCTGTGGTCAGCTTTGGAATAGTAGAGTACCTTAATTCCTTATCTTTCCGTGTGTGGTATCAAATGCATTGAACTAGAGATGAAACATTAATTGGGGAAGATGGGAAACTTCGACAGTCATGACAGTGTTCAACATGTTCATAATGTTCAACAATAGGCCTTCAACATGTTAAAGGGGGATGTGAAAATCACACAGCCACTGACTGACTGCTGACATGACTCAGCCAGCATGGACATGCATGACATGACGGAGCTCCATGCAGGAATGTCGAACAACTTGACCATTTACCAACTCGACTTGAATAACCCAACTGTTGAGACAACTCCAACGGCGGGTCAACTCGACCGTCTGTTCAAAATGGACAGACAGCTCAGCTGTTGGGAGTGGGACAGACGGTTGATTGATACAAGTTAACTTGTAATGAGTGCGCTTGTGTTTTACAGTCCTATTGCCCACACCGTTTTTACAAATTAAAAAAGAGAAAGGACTGGGGGACAGATGTACTATCTCCCACACCAGCAGAGCAACTGATTATCAATGCAGCCGAGGCACCTGTGTACTATACTGTGGATGGTGCACTGTGCATTGCAACGTGTACGGCAACATGCACCCTGTTCATGCTGTTGAGTTCTGAGTCGAGTTGGCAAAGGGTCGAGTTGACCAAGCTCCCATGCAGCCAACAATGTCAGTGGCAATGAATGAAGTTATCCCTGTGACACGCATGAAAAGCATTGTGCCAACCAAACCTATTCATTTGGTCGGGGCCCAAACCACAATCTTGTGACGTCCCTAGTTTTTGCTTATGGTGCGTGTTCAAGCTGCGATGACGTCATTTTTATCAGGTCACGTGATAGTGATGTAATTTTGAGAAATAACAAGATTTGAAATGCTGGCAGTCAACATGGCCGCTGTTGCCGTTACTGTTGGAGTCTGTGGCAAAATTGTTTTCAATCGCTTGTTTTGAAAATCGCCACAGTAAACATAAAATATGCCACGGTGAATTCATGGAGAATTTTAGTGGCAACATTTCATGCATAAAGTAAACTTTGGCAAAGCTTTATTTTTTTTTCACGGAAACGTTTTTATTGGCAGAATTGGACTCGCCTGCCCACCGAATTCGACACATCCAGTGCAAGATTCGACAAAAAAACCTCCTTGATCCACTTTTATAGATAACAAGTGAAAGGAAAGTTTCATTTAGATTTTGGGTAGCATGTTTCCTGTAAATTGAATCAATCAGAGCAATTTGTATTGAAGTTTTTGGCCGATAAAGAGATCGGTGTCATAGGTGAACTGTGATCTTAAAATAGTTCAAAAATTATGTCATCGTTGCTCAAACGAGCTGCGTATGCATAGTCTGGCGTTGTCGCTAGCTTGTTGTTTGGTCCCGGACCTGTTCACTTGACACAACAGCCTCACATGTAGTCATGCAGTCGTGAAGTGCAGGCATTGGCACTCATGTTTGACAATCAGCACAAGTCTAAACTTACGGTCATGCTATGTAGCATCAATAAGCTTCAACAAGTGTCAACACAGAAAAGTAGTTTCAACAGAGCGTCAACAACTTGAAAATGTCCTTTAAAGATTTCAAAATAGTTTTATCATATTTTAGAGACTCCAACATATTCCACTGTGTAAGAAAAACGGGGAATTTTCGTTAAGATTCACACAGGAGAATGAAAATTTTTCACTGTGTATGGGAGCCACCATCTTTCTTTTCTCTGCTGACTGAGTGAAAACAAGATGGCGGCTAGTTGGGCTGCACGAGCAGAATCATTCTGTTGCTAAAATTTCCATCATTTTGTATAAATGTGATATCTTGAATGTGATATGCAGAAGCCAAATTAATATTATAAATATTTTTCTTTTGCATAAATATGCTTGAATAACTTTTTGACGCCAAATAGTATGACTCCAATCTCCCAGTGTTCCAGAATGTCTTTTACTAGTTTTAGAGCGCACAAGTATTGCTGGTCAAATTATGTGTGCATACAAAATGTGCAATATCCCACG